TTCGTCTGGGTGGGATCTATTAATGTGATGTTATTTAGATTTAAAATAATCATGAAATTCCATTCATTTTATCTTATCAATATTTCTGCTTTAATAAAGTCTCTAAATTTTTGTCAAAAATTTAGTTTAGATCATTCCTTGTATTACTCTCTATTTATTCGTGAAGTTTTATTACAAACGGTACGGCCATTCCGAAGATCGGACTGACAGACAAACGAAAATTTTAAATGGTTACTACTCAAGTCTCAATAGCATGTAAAATTTTATACGAAAATTGTAAACGCGACGTAGCTCACAAATTAGCGAAACCGGACTGATTTTTTTTTGTATTTTATGTCATTTTGTTATCATTAATTCCAATGACGAGTTGGATTGAAGTTTTAGAACGTACGAAAAACGATTATGGCAACGTATTTTTTTACAGTCTTTACCGGCGGGTGTGAGTGAGCGAGAGTTGAATAGAGGAGACGCCATTTTCAATCCCATTCTTTAACCGCAAGAGTAGTAGGTGTGTCACAAACAAGGCAATCAAGGCAAAAACTTAAACAAAACTTACAAAATTCAAATTCAAAAAGTAGCATCATTTTTCGCAGTATGAAAGAACGCAATATTACGCAATAACTACTTAAAAACAAATGAAATCTATCTCTAAATCTTCAATTAATTTTTTTTATATAGAAAAGGGGGCACACGAGCATGCAGCTCACCTGATGGCAAATGACTACCGCCGCCCATGAACAACGGCAACATAATTGCAGATGCGTTCCTGGGCTTTTAGAAAGGTGTAAGCTCTTTTCTTGAAGGTTTCTAAGTCGTGTCGGTCCGGAAAAATCGCTGTTGGTAATCGATTCCACAAGGAAGTCGTGCGAGGGAGAAAACTTCTTCTAAATCGCACAGTGGTGGACCGCCAATCATCCAGATGGTATGGATGGTATCGCGAGTTTTGCCGCGATGTGCGATTGTGAAATTGAGCGTCTGAAATTAGTCCGAACAATTCCTCAGAGCACTCCCCGTGATAGATGCGATAAAATACGCAAAGAGATGTAACATCTCTACGCAGTGCCTGTGTATCGTGCCGATCAGAAAGAAATCGAACGATTCGAACCGCTCTGCGCTGGATGCGGTCAAGTGGAAGGACCTGGCACTGGGGTGCCCCGGCCCAGAGATGAGAACAGTATTCTATGTGAGGCCGAACTTGCGCTTTAAAAGTTGCAAGCGATGTGCCGGCATGAAATACTGTCTCGCTCTGCTGAACACGCCAAGCTTTTTAGAGGCCAATTTGGCCTTCCCTTCCAAGTGACCACGAAACTGCACACTATTCGATATGTCGACGCCGAGGATTCCGATGCTAGCTGAGGCAGGAAGGGGAGTGCCTTGAAACTGAGGAGATAAGACAAAGGAGTTCTTTTTAGCGGTAAAAGCGCAAACTGGTGTCTTCTGGGGATTGAACTGAACTAGATTTAGTCGCCCCCAATCCGAAACTTTGTTCAGCAAAGACTCGACTTCAGACACAAGTTTGTCCTGGTACTCGGCGACATTTCCCCGAGAAATATTGGCGCACTCAGTGTATAGAGCATCACCAGTGCTGTCATCTGCACAGCAATGATGTTACCGGTTTGCAACATATCATTGATATGCAGAAGAAACAGCGTTGGTGATAGCAGGCGGCCTTGTGGAACACCAGCGTTGATAGGCTTGAAATCAGAGCATGCACCGTCTTCTACGACCTTGATGCTCCGATCAGCAAGGAAACTGGTGATCCATTTGCACAATTTCTCGGGAAGCCCATAGGAAGGAAGCTTCGAAAGAAGCACTTTATGCCAGACCTGATTGAAGGCCTTAGCTATGTCCAAACTAACGGCCAATGCCTCCCCCTTGGACTCTACTGCCTCCGCCCATCTATGAGTCAGGTAGACCAGAAGATCAACAGCTGATCGACCCTGACGAAAACCGTACTGGCGGTCACTAATCAGCTGATGATCCTCAAGGTACCTCATGAGCTGGCAGATTATAATGGATTCCATTATTTTGGAGAAGAACAAGGAGGTGATGGCGATAGGCCTGTAGTTGGACGGGTCTGAGCGGTCGCCTTTTTTAGGGATTAGGTGGACCAAAGCTGTCTTCCATGAATTGGGGACTACGCCTTGGGAGTAGGAATACCGGAAAAGATGCGTTAAAACCGGTGCCAACTTCAGCACAATGGGTGGGACTCCATCGGGCCGACTTGACTTGCTGACGTTCAGGGAGAAGAGTGATTTGCGAACCGAGCGCTGTGTAAAACGCACATCCGGCATGGAGCACTCACATCGCGGGATGGTCGGCGGTATGTTCCTCCCGTCATCTAGAGTCGAGTTGGACGCAAAGAGAGAGCTCAACAGATCGGCTTTCTCCTTTGTGGCACGGGCCAGTGAGTCGTCCTCTCTGTGCAGAGATGGAAGAGATGGCTGATAGAAGTTCCCTTGGACAGCCTTGGCGAGAGACCAGAATGCACGGGTTCCCGAAGGAAGGTGAACTAGCTTCTCGCCAATTCTGCCGCTGTGCTCATATCTTGCCTTGGCTATGACGCTTTTGAAGGACCTGGAGGCGGAATTATACTTCTTTTTAAGAGTGCTGGTATTTACATCCCGAGAAGTTGATGCGTCAGCACAAGCCCGGTAGCACTCCTGCTTATAGCGTGATGCTATTTTACAGGAGGTACCACAGAGGATGAAATAGAAAGTTCCATACCCTGAAGTACCACATCAGCAACAGAATCGGCAACAACGCTAGGATCTTCCGGTGAGAAGCAAACCCGCCCCCAAGGGTAGGATGCAAAAAAAGACTGCATCTCGTCCCGATCGGCTGGCCTATAGTGCCAAACACGGCAGCAAGTTGCAGATCGCAACTGCGATTGGAGCGTGAGTGGCACTGTACTCCGGATCAGACAATGGTCCGAAGAGCCCAGAGGGGCGTCGACGGAGACCTGATATCCGTCCGGATGAGAGGTCAGCAGAAGGTCCAACAGGAAAGGTACATGGTCCTCCACATCTGGGATCCGCGTAGGCGAAGTAACCAGTTGTGTTAGACCATATGTCAAGACAAAGTCATAGACAGATCTATGACTTTGTCTTGACATATGACGCTTGACGCATAATCGGTTAAACCAGAACCAAGACATTCAGCGTGGTGGACGTTAAAATCACCGAGTATCACGATCTCTGCGGATGGGACCTGATGTAGCATGGAGTCTGCAGCCATTTGGACGTGGTCAATGAGTCGATCTGTGTCGGAGTTACCGCTATGGAACCTATAGAGACACCCGTAGACGCTGGGATGGTCGTCGCTGTCTACGCGCATCCATAGGATGGACAGGTCCGTACCTTCAAGACTGCCGAGGCGCGAAAACAGATATCCTCTCTGACGTATACACAAACTCCAGCCTGAGACCCAAAGGAGTGTTCTAATTTATACCCTGGGTAGGAGAGATATCAGCCGTAGAGGACACCTGAGTCTCGGTTAAAAAGAGCAAGGCCTGCTTCGCCGTCTCTGGATGGTAATGGACAGCGTTAAGGTTGGAATGAAGTCCCCTGATGTTGCAAAAGTTCACAGATAGCGTGACAGGGGTCGCCTTGGTTTCATTGCTCCGCTTGCCCCGAGCAGTAATAGTCGCGGTCGAAATTTGCCCCCCCCCCCCCCCCCGCAGAATACGCGGGGCAGCCTGAGCACCCACGCTCAGGAGTGGAATAGTTTGGTCGTGGATGCTCAGCGAGGGATTCTCCAGGGGTGCTGGTACCCTCCTGGGGTAGTCTTTTATTTAATTCCGCTACGTAAACCTCTACTTCACGCTGGTATTCTGTGAGGTCGTGGTACCACCCCGGTTCGAGCCGGCCCATCCGTGCGACAGCAAAAGCTGCCGCGTGGATCTACCACTGTTAATTGAAGCAGTTGTAAGCAATTTCACTTTTCGGTGAATACATAGTTCATACATAGTTTCCCAGATGAGTGTTACGTTTGCGCATTAAGGGTTCACAATCAGTAACGATGTGCAAAAATGTTTCTTCCGTTAAGGACCAGAATCGGTATTTTTAGACAACAGCGTCCCGTCAGGGCTCTTACCAGAATACGCACTTTCTGAAGCGAATTTACGATCATAAGCCTGGATTAAAGTTTTAGAATGTTTTAAGCTTGGCGTATCAGACCAGATCTTAAGTGATTTATTGTGATAAAGAATTTCAAGGGTCAATCGGGCCAGGCTTTTTGTGATTCGACAAAATGGTTTGGGTCCAAATTGTGTACTCTTTGAGCCATCCCGTGCGAGCTTGTCCGCATGTACATTGCCTACAATACCCGCATGACCCAGAACCCATCTCAAAACGACCCCGTTGTTACACCCCAGGGCGTTTACGGTTCACGCAGTCTCCAACTAGCTTTAAGGATCTCAGCGCTAGCAGTGCTGCTTTACTATCAGAGTTTATATAGATCAGTGATGCACAGACTTATTGAGACTAGGGGCCACTCGGGCAAATTATGAACTGATGGCGGTCTGCCATAAGTTCATAATTTTCAGAAGTATAGGTAATTAAAAACAATAAAGAATTGATAATAATGTATTAAAATTGAAAAAGAATTTATTAATTTAAATTTAGAAGGGTGGCACTGCATAGTGCTTACAATCTTTTTTATATTTGGCTCAAATTTACTTGTAGCAACACGTAAAACTGCTTCCAAACTTTCATTTGCAAGGCGGTTTCGATTTTTTGTTTTATTATTATTTAGTATTGAAAAGGTTTGTTCACATATATAGGTAGAACCAAATAAGCTGGCACATTTCAGAGCGTTTATGCGCAACTCTTTGTACGTATTTTTATCAATGCAGCGGTAAAAGTTCAGCAAGTCTCCTTCGTTGAATTTGTTGCGTAAATCTTGGTCGTTTTGAATGGCGATAATTTCTAACTGCATTGACTCTGGCGCATTTTCAACTGAAATCGTGAAAGGATTGCTGAATATGTCCAACAGAGGTTTCACTTTTTTGAAAATCTGTCTTGAAAAGATTGAATCAAAATATCTAGCTTTTCTACATAACTGAAATTAATCGCAGTTTTGTTGAATTTTTCAGCCATTTTCTTAAAATTCGGAAAATGATTGTAATTTCCAGAATTCAATTGCGATCTGAAAAGTGTCAGCTTGCATTGAAAGGATGATACATGAGCGTAGAGCTGGAATATCAGTTGATTTTTGCCTTGAAGCCGTGTGTTCAAGACATTCAAATGATTTGTATCAACTAAAGAAGCCAAATCACACAACCAATCAAGGTTTTTAAGTTCCGGGACATCCCTTTGCTTTTCCGCCAGAAATATTCCAATTTCTTCTATTAAATTTAGAAATCGTTCCAGTATCAATCCACGACTTAGCCACCTTACTTCTGTATAATACAGTAAATCTCCATATTCGCTTTCGATGTCATCAAGGAATTGTTTGAATTGCCTGTGATTGAGTCCTCGTGATTTTATGAAATTTACAGTCGAAACTACCACTTTCATGACATTTTAAAATTCAATTTTTTTAGAACAGAGGGCTTCTTGGTGTATAATGCAGTGAAACTGCATGAGATCTTCAGCGTTTATGTTTTTTTCTTGCAGATGCTTTTTCAGCAAAGTAACTAGCCCAGAATTGACACCAATCATCGAAGGAGCACCGTCAGTCGCAACGCTCGATAATTTTGATAAGTCCAAATCAGTTTTTGAACACTCATCCAAAAGTACATTGAGTATATCAACTCCTCTGGTTTGACCTTTCAATGAACACATTCCTAATAACTCTTCTAAGACTTCAAAATCTTGAGTAACACCTCGTATGAATATCAGAAGTTGAGCTGTGGAACTAATATCAGTGGATTCGTCGAGTGCTAATGAAAAAAATTCAATGATTTTAGTTTTTTCATTTAATTGTTCCGCAATATTACCTGACAAAGACATAATTTGTCTTTGGATAGTCATACGATTCAGTTGAATTTTCTGAAACTTTTTTTTTTGCTTCTGGACACATTTTCTTAGCGGCAATTTCTATGTATTCTTTTACAAAATCCCCATCATTGAAGGGGCAACTTCGCTTTGCTATCATTCGAGAAATTTCATAACTAACTTCTGTAGCTGTTTCTGAATCTTGAATGGATTTTGTAAACATAGCTTGCTGACCAATAAGCTCCCGTTTTAAAGACAACATTTTTTGCTTTCTTAATTCGCCTGTAAATTTGGTAAAAGTAGGATGCTGTGTTTCATAGTGCATTTTTACATTATATTCCTTTGCAATCGCAACAGAATTCTTGCAAATTAAACAAACGACTTTGTTATGCGACCATACAAAAAAGTATTTCTCAGTCCAAATTTCTTGAAACTGCCGATTTTCATCTTTAACTTTACGTTTTTTACTAGGTCCTGGCTTGTCCATGTTGCGTTCTAATCCTGGCTAGGTTTAACACAGCACCTAAAAACAATTACAGTACCTACTTAAATAACCCATCCTTTCTTAAATTCCCAAAAATAATTGATTAAATAGGTAGGGAAACACTTATTAATAACAGAGTTTTACTTACGATTTCGCAACACACAATTATACACGGCACTTGACGGGAAATCTACGTTGAATGTGGATCAAAATATATGTCGAGTTAAATTCTACACTAGAACTATTGACACTTAACTCAAATTAAAACCGAACTGCGGTCGCTGCGGTTAGCGTGGCTTTTATACCGCGCGTATAGAGTCGTAAACTGTCTGGAGAAATCACGAAACCGAATCTGGAAGCTTCGTGTATCTACCTACGCGAGCAATCGGGAATTCGGGACTATTTCAATCTCGCTTGCTCTAACAATATAACCCGTGGATAAGCCGCCACCGCGCTGCCGTCGTCGCCGCGCCGCCGGCCACGGCGGTTCCTCAAGAAAACGAATTTAACCGAGATCAGCACGAACATTACCGACCGCTGTTACCGACGCATGCACGGCGCACCGATAAGTGCACTTAAGAGCGCGCGCGCAAAAAAATAAAAAATATTTTTTTTGTTTTTATTCTGGAATATAATTCAATATTTTTCGAATGTACGAGAGTATTATTTTTGCTGTCGGCGGGCCACCATTATTCGACCAGCGGGCCGCATGCGGCCCGCGGGACGCGGTCTGTCCATCTACGATATAGATAATATGGTTGAAGTAGTGTTTTTGCAGGTTGATTTCCACACACCAAAGTATGGTGATAATTGTTCTCTCATCTCTCAATCTGTAGTAAAGCAAGCTTAGACCGCTCTGGGCGTTAATCCTACAAAAAATTTTTTTGCAAATATTTCGCTTCCTGAGATTTTAGTGCTAAATGTAAAAACACTAAAACCATAGCAAGCGACATATTTGCAAAAAACCGATTTTTGTAACCTTTGATCTTGAATATTTTAAGACGCGTACTATACGAGATTTTGAGACTTTTTAACAACATTTAGAAGGCAAAAATAAAGATTTAATACAATTTTACAGCTTATTATCTTTCATTCCGAGGTGAAACCCCTAATATGACTGGACTATAGGTAATAATTGACCTCACATAGGATCATACTGGGACGCAAGCTCCACTTGTTCCTAACCTAAGCCCTCGTCCACAGTGCGAGCCTAGCGCGGTTGCGACGACAGGCGCGAATTATCAAACATATGAAACCGCCGTTTGCGTCCATAGTGTAGTGACTAAGGCGGACGCCGAGCGCGACGGGCATGAGCGAGATAGCGCGCGTAGTTTTCAAACGTTCATATCCGCGCGTTTTGGCCACACTACAGGCCTAATCAGCAAGCGATCCAATGCGCGGGTGCGGGGGTATCAAACCAGTTCGGTCTTATCGCTCGGCGTAAGCGCGTCTTCATTTTTTTTGTTGTTAAAACATTTGTATCTTCTCTAGTGATTTTAGGTGATATTTTACTCAGGACGTAATCAAATGTTGATACGGACATTCGAGTATACTCAAAGAATTTTCTAGGGTACAAATATCAATTGTTCTTACAAATTTAAAAATTCACCATTTATTTGTTGATTTTTATTTATTTCGTGCACACCCTCTCTAATGTTCAAAATCTCCTATCTCAGGATCGGACTATCTAGTAGAAAGTCCTCGTCCATGGTTTACAACACCTGTAATACATCTAAGCACACCAACAGCTCGCTTGTCACTGTGGCCACGGCACGCGCCCGCCGCCGCGCCCGCAACAGGCTCAAGTCGCCGCGCATTCACTGTGGACGCACACATACACTCCACGTACTTAAGGCATTTTGCCTTATGTTACACATATGCGTATGACATATGTTGCTAAGGTGAGAGTGTTTGTTACTTTCTGGTCGATTGTTACGCCCAAATACGTCAGTGGAGAATGGTAAGTACTTCTTTACAATTACGCTTCGGTGTAACTAATTTGTCCAACCGTCTCTTTTTGGTAAAGGGTATTCTAAAAGTCTTATTAGCATTAACTGATATACTGTTATCCCTACACCAGTTATTTATGGTTATAACATTTACTATTTGTGGTTCTGAGGTCTGGCAAATGATCTAAGAATAAAAAATAGTTCTCTTGTTCTTTAGTCTGGGCTTAAATTGGGCTAAGTCTATGGAGTGTAGAGTAGAAGGAGCACTATCTCTGTATATGAAAAGTGTCCCTAAAAAAGCGTCCAATAAGGGTGGCGCTGCAGTAGCATAGGATAAAGTTAAAAAAAGCGCCAAAATTAATTACAATAAGATGGAGAAATAAACAAGGACCGACTAATCCGCTTGGTTTTGTACTACATAAATAGTTGAAGTTTTGTGTACTGGCATTTTACTAACTACTCTCATTGATTCGTCATGAATTTTTTTTAAATATTTGAATGAGGATCAGTAAAGTTATAGAAAATTCAATAAAACTAGTATCCATGTTATTCTTTATGAGATAAGAATTATATATCTTTTTGAATTAGCCAAATCGGACCATTACTTACGAAGATATTAAGTAATTGACATAGGCCGTTACTGTCACTAAAAGTCAATGTACGCAGGTCCGCGTGACGTCACTGTGACGGAAACGAACGCATCATAGTAGTACATACATGTATTCTGTGGTAGTTCACGATTCGATGGAGTGCGGAGACGCGGTTGGGCACTATATTTAGCAATTTATTTGAATAAAGCGTTGTTACCGCATAATTTTGTGATTGTTTAAGTATTAAAAGTACATAATATGACTGCTAATAAAGTAGAAGCTGGTTTTTTGCAAGCTCAATCAGATAACCGTCCAAAAGTGGATTCTTTCATGGTATTTGATTATCTAAGTAATCATTCTAAGTTCACCAGGGCTGAAATCCGTGGTTGGAAACTACAAAGGTAAGGGTGCTGCTTATTTATCTACGTTCGATAACCGGCTTGTTCGGGATATTTTTCGGAAACCGGCTTGTTCGGGAGACTGGAAGTAGTCTAGTATGCGCGCGAGACGATTCGTAATGACTCTCGAAAACAGCACGTAGACGCGGCTCAGAAGGGAAATCGGTCTGTAGTTCTTCAAGAGAGCATTGTCACCTTTCTTGAAGAACAAGACCACCGCACTTCTGCTCCACCATGCTACCATGGAGGACGGAATCAAAGAGCTTCTGAAGGACTTCATGTACCGGTTTTCCACCCGCTTTCAGAAGCTCCGCTGTAATTCCATCCTCGCCTGGGGCCTTGCCGTTTTTCAGGTGCTGGAGAGCCATTCTAATTTCGCTCATACTGACGTCCGGAATATCATAGGAATAGTGTCGGATAAGACTCGCTCTTGGATCGTTACTCACACTTGCGTTTAGCTCCAGCGATGATGTGTACAGCTCAGTTACTACTGAAGATAAAAATACTGATAACACCAATTCAAATCAGTTTTTTCTAGCAGTTGTGCAAAGCCTAAAGAAAAATCCTATCAAAAATCAGTTATCAGTATACGTTACAAAGAATCAGTATAAAAAATTGTCTTTGCATAACCTCATTCATCAATACAAAAATGAAGGCAATAATATAAATAGTGCAGATAATTTTATTGATTATTGTTCTACTAAAATCACCATAGAGAAATATCACAAAGCAGAGGAAGCAACAGTTTGTCAAGCTAGCTCACCGTTATGGCATGAGTTAAGGTATTGTAGAATAACCGCGTCTAAAGTTCACGAAGCCACACATTGCAAGACTCCTGATGGTGCTTTGATTGAACAAATATTTGGTGCCTCTGTACCAGAAACTCTGTCTATGAAAAGAGGCAAACGATTGGAATCCATTGTCAGAGCAGAAATAGCCAAAACAAGGAAAGTAGTTATTGAAAATTGTGGTTTCTTTTTAAAACCTGATTGGCCTCATTTAGGTGCTTAGGTTATTTGAGTCTTGATTCTCACACTCTACTACTTCAATGGAATGCAACAACAGGTCTTCGCGTCCAATATCTCTACTTAAAACTCTTTCAAAATATTCTATGTCTTGTCGTTTTTTAAAACCCGGTCGGTCACTTTTCTTTTTTTGGGGCTTTTGGCATTCAAACTTATGAGGCAAAACTCCCTTCTTCAGTTTAAGCTTTCCTCCAAGTAACTTAAACTTTACGTAATTTTCCATATCTTCTTCTAACTGAAATATAAAAATGTATATAAGTATTAATTTATTTGCTTCTAACAATAAGGCATAGCTGAGGCAGATACATAAATTCACCGCTGTTATGTAAATGATTATAGAATATTATCATTCACTCTTTGCTTTTTACCCGAGTACGTCTCTATGTCATTGTTTTGACCCTAGAATACGAAATACAATGTTTTTACATATAAACATCTGAACCGATTTTAATGACTTCGATCTGAGATCTTAAAATGGATATAGGCTACTTTTCATCACAAAAATAAAACTTTACGAGGATGAAATAGCGGTGAGATAAAAACTTTCTGTGACAAACTGAATTCAACGCGGGCGAAACCGCAGGCAAAAAGCTAGTAATACATAGAAATGGGAACGGGCGAATATATAGGTTTACGTTAGTAGATACGTTAGTGCGTAGTTTTATCAACAAAACTTAAAAAAAGTAAATAGGTATGTTTTTATTAATACAACAGGGTTAAAATAAGAGAATATACAGGTACACTACACGTAACATAAGGTACCAAATTATTTCCATATCAACTAAATAATAGGTATAATAGATATGTAGGTACGTACATCGAAGTGATCTTCACAGCAATTTCTTGTAGCCTGGGCAGAGGGTGTAGTTTTATCATCTCTTTTTACAATGGAATACCATTTTTTTACGAAGTTGGGGTCTTTCGGTACGTTAAAAAATAGTTTTTCTGGTGTTTTAATAGAAGTGTTTGTACATTTCGGCACTATACAGTATTCATACATAGTTAAAAAGGTAAATTAGACACTTAATTTGTTTCAAAGTCACAATTAACCAAACAAAACACTGCGCGCCTTATTACTGCCAACGGCTAACTGGCGAAGACCGTCATAGTGACGTCACAGCTACCGCGCCGGGCCGTCAGTGAACTTCGCTAGTAATTTGATCATAACTTCGTTAATTTTTGTCGTAGAACAAAAATTTTTGCACTGTATGTTAAGGATTTCTTAGATCTATAAATCTGCATTCTCAACTAAAAACGTTACGGATCCTCATTCAGCTGACTTCACTCCGTCTACAACAGCTATATCCATGTCGTAGTTTATCAGAAGCTAGCGCTATTGTGGTAGGTTTTGGAACCTCTATATTCAATATATAGTGGGACCCTTTTTCAACTTTCGCATCTTATAAGATGGTTCTTCTTCTTCTCTACACTCCATAGCTAAGTCTATGTTGATTATTGAGTTTAGAAAAAAAGGGAGAGGCAAAGGCTATATATCATACAGCTTTATCTGACGTGTATTATTCAAAAAATACATCACGCTGCTTTTAAGCTGCTGTGTCAAATTGCGAAGATTTTGAGAAAATGTTTCGACAGCACCAGCATAATTGATGATAAAAGTATCTCAAGGCACCTAATGCCTAAGCCAACAAAAACTTGAGATCTAAAACACGATACGAACCAAAGAGAATATAAGCACTACGTTTAGACCAAACTGTTTGTTCTAACTTTTCCATTATTACCATATATTACACATGCGCATACATTTATTACACCTGTCAATGTTTCATGGTCAGAGGGGTTTTGGCGGGAATTTGACCGGCGGCGGTTTGCTGCTCCTATATTATAGTTTAAATAATAGTTTGCAGTAGATTTTGATATGTAAAAGTGATGCAATTTTATGTAATAACTGTCTACGCGTGTGAACTATTAGTGGAAATGGTGAAACAAGTGCTCTGATGGTGATGGATTCTCAAGATAAGCTGTTTGTCTGCATAGGCGCCTTTAGATACCATCGCCAACTGTCAGCTGTCTGCTGGCTCAAGTTGCCGTCAAAATCTCCCAAGGGCTGCACAATGTGACGCATCAACATATTGTGAAGCAGTGAACTATGAAAGATAATATAAAAAAGACTCGGGTGTATGGGTTAGTTCTTTTGCCTGCTCTCTCGAGCGAATAATAAAAACAACAACAACAATTCATGGTCAGATTAATTTTGACAGACGTCAGGCTCTATGACACTGTCAGGTAACTTTTAAGCAGCCTTGCCAACTTAGTAGATTTTCCACTAAAACTGGTGGTTTCGACCCCTTTGAGTGGAGAAATATTACTTTTAGTGGCTGGTGGTTTTTGTGGTTTTTTTTGTAGTTGTTCACTATAATTCAGTTTCAATTAGTGAAAAGATGATTACTCAACCATCAAACTACTTAACCGTTTCGTAATATATTTCTACTTCATTTCATCATCATCATGATCATCATTACAACCCTCCACAAGTCCATTGATAAATATTTAACATGTTCAGCAGTGGACTTGGACAAGGAATGCCACAAAGCACGGTCTTGAGCCACGTGCACAAATCGACTTACTGTATGTCTTACTAGGTCGTAGGTACTGCGGTAGGTACGAGACTGCTACTCAAGAACCTTTTTTCCATATCGGTTATCGGTTCTTCAAGCTATATAACCGGCCTATAGCCACTTCAGCTTATTAATCCGTTGGGATATGTCAGTTACTCTGTTTTCACAGCGGATATACTCGTTTTTAAATCTAACCCTGAGCATAGCCCTCTCCATAGCTCGCTGAGTGATCTTAAGCTTCCTCATACAGCCAGCAGTGAAGGATCACGTCTCAGATCCATAAGTCATTACTGGCAATGGACACTGGTTGTACAATCTTCGTTTCCAAGTTCTGAGATATACCTGACGAGATGATACTACCTCACTTAAGACAAAATTACTTTTACTGTGTAGGCAGCACTGATTCGTCAGACATAACGTGACTTCAGACGATCCATCCCAGTGGTGCTACATTATTCGCTGGGATTCCTCGTAGAATATTTTAGTAGTAGCTTACGAAAATCAGTATCGTATTCTTTCACGAGTTGATACGCTATTATGTCGAAACCACAGTATACACAAAAGTTTCGGGTTTCTCGGCGCTTTAAGACACATCTAAAGGATTGGTTCCAAGCTTCAGCCAAGTTCAAAGCGAAATAAATATGGATGTACTATTGTAAGCATAATAATATTAAAAATGATTCAACTGTAGAAGACAATTTAATTTAAAATAACAGTTAATTAAATAATATATTCTTGATGTTGACTTACTAATTGTATGTTGATTTATTGATTATTTACATAGAAATTTAATTTTGTGTTACAGAGTATGTAAGAAATTTGTGTTTTTATTTTTAATTACAAATATATCTATTTTTTCTTTCATAATAAATAAAAAATTTGTTAGTGGAAAATTTAGAGATAGTGAGCGTAGGATCGCCTTTTGTTTGTAGTTTTCTGGTGGTTTTATAAGTTGAATCTGGTGGAGAGCTAGTTTAGTTTAGTTGTTGGCAACACGTTTTGACAGATGTCGAAGTACTGAATGAAAAATGAATGAGATGAATTAATGTGAAGTAAATAAAGTTTATTGGAGAAGAAAATAGTTTGAAGAAATAAATTTGTATTGATTTTTGTCTATTTAAAATACTTTTAAGACAAACATGTTTTGTTGTCTTAATAGATGTTTAAATGGATTCACACTGACCCCAAGTGTGCCAATACGGGTGAAAGAGAACCCTATTCAACTGGATTCCTTACACATGGGTATAAATTTGTATTTATTTTTCTTTGATAACAAATGCCATAAAACTTTAATTAGTATGACTTATACTGATTAGTAACATTTTGTTGCACATAGTAAGAAAACAATTAACACTTCTTCATAAGATCTTGTAAAGAGGTACCCTTAATAGGCTGTATATGGGTTGACGAGTGTAGTACCACCTGTTACACTGGTACTTTTTAACTATTATAAGCCAGTACTTAGTACTACCCACCCAATGGTAATTAGTGACTTAGTTTAACAAAGCCTATTCTACTCTTTTCTGTTACACTCTTGCCTTGAATACCTCTAATTGCTCCTTAACCCTCTAAGAAATGAGAGTAGGCTGTGGAATACATTTATATTTTACTTTGAAGACTACATTGTATTACATAGGCAGACAACTGCTTTTCATTATCATTTTCATCATTCACCACTCAGTGACATTTAGGTTCAGCCTTATTTTCAACCATCACTTTGTTGGAAGAGATTTGTTTGTTGATAAGTAGCGGTTACAGCATGAATCCAAGATTTACATTTCATTATTATGAATCTAAAATTATTTATTTCCTTTTACAAAATAACATAATATTACATTCTTTTTTCATAAAACTCAAGTAACAAATGCACTTTGAGTCTATCCGTATGTAAGTGGCTACTGCAGCCCATGGACACCTGTAACCAACTTCAAACAAAGGAGGCTACAGATGCCTTGTCTTTTCTGAGAACTAAGATGGACTGTAATAATACTTACTGGCTGTTTATACTCTTCAGTCAAGAAAAAAGCAGTGCAGGCACCGATATTATGTGGAGGCAGCAATAGATAAGATGATGATATCTACCCACATAGACTCTACCACGTGTTAGAGCTAAGCTGCAGCTACATTTATAATATAGTTGTAGCACGAATGGGTCGACTCAACTGGGGAAGGACCATGCTCAAACAGAATACCAGTGTAAAATGGCAGCATGACACTGCTGTGTTTTGTATAGTGTGTGTAGAGAACCGGAGATCCTTTTTACTGGAAAAGAGGCATTCCATCTTAGTCCTCAGGGCTGACAATGCATCTGTATTTTGATTCGCAAACGAGGATAGATGTAGATGTCTATGGGCCACAGTAACCACTTACCATAAGGTGGACTGTGTGCTCATTTATCACCCTATTTCTATTTAAAAAAAAACCAAGTAAAATATATATATATAAAGATTGCCATTACTGTCTATTAAAGTTCACTGCTGAACATAGGCATAGGCGTATACATAAATTGCTTCAAAGGGGTATATTTGTTATAGGTGCTATGCTTGGAAAGCATGTTGGCAACTGCAGTTTTTTTATTTTTAGTCGTTATTAGGAAGACATTGCTGCCCGTCTCCTGATTTGTTTCCCTCTGTCGTCTCTTACGACACCTACGTGATAATATGGGGTAGTGGATATTCTCACACTGCCACTACATGGTTAATATATTAAGACTGCCTATTTAATATAATAATATACTTAAATACTTGTAATATATATAAAGGTTAAGACTGCCTATTTAGCATAATAATATATTTAAATACTTGTATCAGGCAGCCCCTCTCTTTCGTAACTGCTACTGCTGTTTGCTAATGCTGTATTATGTACTCCTAGTACATTAAGCACTGTACTAGCAGTTTTTGTTCTAATCAGTGGGATTTCTATGAGAATTATATTTCTCCTAATATACTCTGTTTAGAGCATCACTTCATATAAGAGATACATATAAATTATTAGATTGTACTAGGGAAAAATATATATAATTTAAAAGGTTTTTATGGGACAGTCTATCTCAAAGATTTAAACATGAAAAAATATTCTAATACTTGCAAAAATTGTACTCCTTAATGTACAGGTACCGAGATACATTCTGACCAATAACTATGCCTAAGTATTATTAAGTGTGGTTCACTATACATGTGATTAGATGACAGCTGCAGCCGTTTTTTGTGTTTTGTGCATTTTTAAATTAAAATCTGATTTAGGTTGTGGATCATTATTTATACTGAAACAAATGTAATGTCTTTTACGTATTTAATGTCAAGGAATTATTTTCTTTTACTTGAATCCACCCATGAATGTTCACAAACAATAACAGTAATGAGTGTAAGATTTAATTTTGGATTTTTTAAGTTTCATGTTAAGACATATTTTGGGGAACAGTTGATGTTTTTTTGACGACTCTTTAATGTAATGATTTCTTTAAACTTAATATCTACCATACCGATGTGAAAAGGATTCCCATTTTACTCCATTGAGAACACTAGAAATGCTTTGGGGTTATCTAGTGAGCAAGGGAATTGTAAGTTTCTTGCACTGTTACCTACTTAATATGTTTGACTTATTGTATTCTATATGCCTATTGCTCATTGTTATGTTGATGTATGACCACAGAATAAATATGGTATGACTTTGGGTTTGTAGATATACAGTAATTGTAAAATTATTTCTATACGCCTGTTAACTAGGTATTTTTAGTATGTCTCCATGTATTATTTTTATGGTTGTTTATAAAATAGCAGATCTGGTATCGAGAAAAACGGTGTTTGGTTTAATTGATTCTTACTACTTACTATAATAAGTAGAGTTTTTGTAATAGAAATAAAGTAAATGGCATTGCATTAAATTATTATTGTAATAACAGGTTTTGGATTTTTTTATGGTAAGATATGACATACTGAAAGTTGTTCAACATTTTTATGAGTTTACTAGCTGATACCCGCGACTTCGCCCGCGTGTTATTTGTGTTTTAATTTTTTTGCACGGAACCCTAACTCTTTCTAAAATAAAAGTAGCCTAAGTTACTCCTTGTGACATCAGCTATCTGCCAGTGAAAGTTCCGTCAAAATCGGTGCAGCCGTTTTGGAGATTAGCCAGAACAAACAAACAGACATACTGACAGACAGACAGACAGAGAGACAGACAAAAACTTTAAAAATTGTATTTTTGTTATTTTTACCATATATACTTTCATATGGATTTAGTAAAAAGCTGTAATTTTGACATTACAAATAGACAATTCAATTTTATTTTTTTGTATAGATGATCACCATTCATCATTATAGACAATCACAAGTCCACTGCAACCTTGAGGGAGGCCATAGGCCTCGCTCAAGGAGTGGACAGCTTTTGTGGCATGGCTACGAATGTCATAAAATGAGCTGAGCGACTTGTAGGTTCTCCCTCCTTATGTCATCACTGGCAACATGCACTGTTTGGGAATATAATGTCACCCTATCTTACGTGATTGTGCTGTAGTAGGAGTACTCTGACACATGTAAAAATATTATATACATATATATCATAATAATATACATTTTCGTATTATATATTTCAGGTCATGAAGTTGTATTGGTAAAAAATGGACAACGGGCTTGTGGTTCTGGTTGTACTCTTGGTAACGCTCCTTTAGTTCAAAATAAAGCCTACTTTGAAGTAAAGTTGCAACAGGGAGGAGTTTGGGCTGTAGGACTTGCTACCAGGGACACAGATCTGAATAGAGTTCATGGTAAAAATAAACTGACTTTATGTGGACATTAATAATTTAAGCTTAAACAATATACTATTTTATTTACTAATTTACTATAGTAATTTTATTTTATTTATTCACTACAATCGAACGATACTTAGTTCTTGCAAAGAACCAAGTCTGCCAACTTGACTAGCACTTTGGCTGCCTCTGATTATTGGTGAGCTAAAATATTGTTCAAAATGCGGATGTTCGAGTTCTTATTACTGCTAAAATATGATTTTCTAACTGCTTTATGCTGTACATTACTAGTATTTAAATATATATTTTTCTTCTTAATTTGCACATTAGAGTGCACTGCGGGATATGGACCTCTCCTAAAGTGGGGAGGGTATGCCTTAATTGTTGAACTTGGCAGTCGCATTGACGATCGCCGTATCCGGTACCCGTGAGCGGTCCATGTGTTTTACATCTGGAGACATCTATTAGAAGCCTTCTGTGATTTCTTATGGTCGTCTTTATGACACCCACGGGACGAAGTGGCGTTATGATCTTCTTACACAGCACACTGCAAGGAAATATTTATTTGTGATTTTTTTTAAATTTTAAGATGCTAAGTATGTGTGTAATGAATGTAGTGGTCGTGCATTTGTTTGCTTTTACATTGCCATTGCATCATATATCACTTTACCACCATGCATTTCTTAAAAGACTTGGTGATGGGTGACAAGCTTTGAATCTACTTTAGTATTAGGATTTCACATATTTAAATGGATTTGTCTCATCCTTCAATCAGCAGGGTGATCCATAAATTAACGTGAGGATTGGCAGTTAGGCATTTTACATGTGGATTAAGTGTTATTTTTGTGTTAATTTATTTCCTATTACACAGCTACTTTAACACTGAATTAAAATTTTTGTTTTAAGCACAATATGCATTAATATTCAAAGAACGTATTTACTCTAGGTCAGTGTTACACATACTGAAAAGAGGTCACATGACATGGTCAACAGTAAACCATATTTAATTTAAAGTTATGAAATGCTGTTTTTATTATTATCAAATGCCATTGTTCTTGTAGATGTTGTAAAATGACTGGAGCATCTTTAATAAGGTGTCATAACTTGCGGTTTCACTGTTCCATTTGTTACACAAGTTTAATTTTAATAGATTGCAGTATTTTCACATTGACATATTTCTCATGTATGTCAGTAACCTACAGCAACTATCATATTAGTTTAGTATTTTTGGGGCTGTGTGTTCTAAATTAGAACTTCCTAGACTCAATATTTGTGCGAAATCATATCATTTACATATTAGGTCTGAGCAGTGGTTTAGCGTGACTTAGACAGGCCCTGTATAAAATTTGTTGGTGGCCTATTAAAATAATTGTATATTGATTATAAGCAGTTATTACTTACAATTAATACTCCCAGGAACTAAGCTAACCAAACAATTCAAATCAAATATATACTTTTCTTGCCTTTTATACCTCGAATTTACTAAGACGATTTTATGTTTTCAAAATTTTGCCTTTTTAGATAACAGTTACAAGTCTTTCCTGTACTAAATAAGTCCTTAGAATTTTTGCTTACACACGTTCGGCGCCGCTGTAGCCTGGGGCCTCGTATCATTGATACAGCTGATACGGCGGTAGCTACGCCCCTGGGTTGGAGTATTTCTGTTTGTTCACTGCATCCGTTTTATCTCTTAAGTGTTACCACATCTGGTACCACAACAGAATTTTACAATTACTCAGAGGTTGTTAGATTCCGCTATTCATGAAGTTTGTACTTACCATAGTTATCATGCTTGGCGATCTGGTCGGCAATCGCAGTTTTTATAATTTAGTGGTAATTAGAAAAATGCTGCTGCCCATCTCCTGGTTAGTTTTTTCTTTTATAGAAGGGAAAAATGAGCATACTTGATAGTAAGTGACTGCAACCTTAGGGCAATTGCAGGAATTAACAACACCTAAAGAATCATATGAAGTGTATATTATTACACCGCTACTATCCGGTAAATCAAATTGAGAATTTCCACAGTAGAGCTAGACTAACCGATAAATAAATCAGTAAGATGACTTTCCAATGGGCCGGCCATATAGCTTGAAGAATCGACAATAAATTCTCAATTGGCAGCCCTATACCAGTATGCGAAGTATAAGGCGATCCCCCACTATATGGAGTGACGATCTGGTAAGATACAGGAAGTCTATGGATGCCGATAGCCCAGGACCGTGCTTTATAGCATTTCTTGGGGGAGGGCTATGTTCAACAGTGGACTTGTGTTGGGTTATAATCCAATAACATTGAAAAGTAGTTGCTTTGGTCCAGTTTATAATGAAACAATAGATGAGTTTTATTTATTAATATGTTTCAGGTGGGTTGGATAAAGAATCATGGTGCCTAAACAGTGATGGCACGGTGCGCCATGACAATGTGGAACTTTACCACCTCAGGCCTGCATCATGTGATTCCCCAACAACTGAACTCTTAGTGTCGACAGAGTCACCAAATCACAATGAGAATGAAAAGCCTGAAAAAGAAAATATAGCAGAGAGCGCAGCAGTAATGCCTGCAGAAGGTGATATAATAGGAATTGCATATGACCATGTGGAGATGAACTTTTTCCTAAATGGAAAGAATATGGAAATCCCTGTAAGGAATATAAAGGGAACTGTGTATCCTGCTCTTTATGGTAGGTATAATATCTTTAAGGCAGTTGCAATAATTTCTGTATGATGTCATACCATATTAGGCATATGCTCATCACATCTCGTTATTAAATTATGTCATACTATCTTTTTTCTTCTTGTCATCAGTCCCTAATTGTCCACTGCTAGATATGTTTTTCTACCATTATAGAGAGAATTTGCCATTATTACCACGCTTCGTGCGCATATGGTCTTACAGTAGCAGACACCTTGCACCTTTGACACTGCTCCACGTCATCAGTTTGGGTATTTTACGTCTGTCGTATATGATATTATATGAGGTGGTTATAACCCCATCAATCAGAAGTCTTAAGATTTCTAGAATTTTCCATATTGCCTTTTTACAATACTCACGGGATTCGTACGCCACTACCACACAGGAAATGTTGGATACAATAATTATTATGTATTTTATTATATATTCTAGATTAAATGCAGAGGACATTATCCTGTGAGAAAAGTGCAGCTTAATCTATAGTTTTATTTTAATTTATAAATCTTATCAAGGACTTTTTTAATATAATAAAAAAAATATGATATATGTAATGGTGACAACATCATTACTGGCATAATGGAATGTACCTTTTGCCTTTTATTTTCTATTCTAAGTTGATATTATAAACTCTTTATGGACAGGTGGTTGATATTTGTATTAATAGCGAGAGATTACTAAATTATATTTTGAATTAATGATGACATTTGCTCTCTTACATGGCCTGTATTATTACTAAAGTAAGGCTTTGTAAAATTAAAAATGTAATAAATATATAGCTATTAGAAAAAAAAGATATAATACTTAATATACTATGTATAATTAGTTTCAAGTATTCATGTGAAAATTTAAATTACATTATGTATGAATGTTACTGATTCAAGAAAAATTATATTGCTCAGTAGTAGTTGCTAATCGTTTGACGGTGCTGCAGCTATGCCAGTATTGGTGTTGCCTACAAATAATTGTGCCACGTACTGGGTATTTAGCTATGTGCAAATAATGTATGTAAAATTCTGCCACGAAATTCATAGCACATTGGTTTTACAAAAAAGAAATGGATTTCCCATGTCAAATTCATAAATTTTGTAATTTTTTGGATTTTTATAATAATCACTACAGGATAAAAAAATATAATAAGCTGTGTGAAAATTTTGTGCTACTGTAGTGCCTTCATCTGACGCACGTATGCACATGTACGCACATGTAAATGCAGGCATATGCACACACATGCACACACTATTTGGACCCAGGATCTACTTAGACTCACTATGTTATGTTAATATAGTACCTACTTTATCATAAATAAATGTTTAATGGACAGTCATATACATATAAATATATATAAACATTTTTATCCATTACAGTTGACGACGGTGCAATCTTGGATATAATTTTAGACAACTTCCGATACCCGCCCCCCTCTGGTTATGAGAAGATTATGGTCGAACAGTCTCTACTCTAACAGAAGAATTAATTTCGTGGTAAATTTTGTGTGCGTGGACGCTATCCTGTGTTGGATCATTAGTGACCTTTATAAAGCGATTGGTCACAGGGTTTGAAACTGTTTATGTAATATCACATATATAATATATATAGTACTCGAGTATGTATATTGTAAAAATATTTTTTGTCAACTCCACATCACATCATTATTTAAATATGTTGAGTCCTTGTGGCAAAGAATATGTTAAGGTCACAAAATAATTTTAAGACAAGCAAAAAGGTTTTTAGTCTGTTTTGGTAACTTTTAGTAAATTCTGTAGCACAGTAAGTTATCTTATCTGTACTTTATTTCTTAGAATAAAAATTTGGTTGGCCTAAAGGTCTAGATGCCAGGCCATAAACTCCAAAAAAAATTTGACATGAAAAATTAAAAAAAAAATATTTAAGGAAAAATTAAACTTCAATATTCTTGCTACTGATATTTTAAGTACAACTTTCAACTATGTTTTAAGGTAGAGTGGCAAGATCTATTTAACCCTTGTCTGTCTTTTCTTAAATTGGTCAATCAAAAATCAAAACGCTAAGGTTTGTATTATAAGTATACGTAATTCACTTAAATAAAATTAATGAGTTATTTATTGTGTTATATATTTATATAACCATATTTTATATAAATTTTTAATGCTCGGAATAATTCTTTAATTTCTGGCGTTGTATAAAACTTAAGTAAGTGATATATTTTTTTAAGATAATAATTACTGTAAATAAAAATAGGATAAATGTTTTATTTTAATGTGAATCTAACCTTTAAGATAAAGAAATTGCAAAATATCAATAATTTTCACATGACATTAGAGAATCAGTATTAAATCTTCATGAGTTAAGTAATATTAAGTATGGATGTGTATAATTATGTGCATTTAAATATTTCTTTATTTTACAGAAAACATTTTTTACTTTTAATTATTTTTATTTGTTCAATGTGTTTCTCAAAAATCTCAAAACAATTTTAAGCATCATATCAAACATATTTTTATAAGTTACAATAGTTTAATGGAGTTTAATCTCCACCATTTTGTTTCACAATGTGTATGAGGGATTCACCGAGAAATTCTTATAACTATAACAAATAAGGTAATTTAAAAAAAATGCCTGACTGAAAATACCCCAGATCAGAGCCGCCAAGCGGTGTTTATTACACATCCGCTTAGTTTTTTGAGCGAGCGTGTTGATTACATCAAATTTTCTTATTACCAGTGATACCTAGGTTCAGCTTTAGTGTTTCACGTTGAAAAAGAAATCGTAAACATGTATTATGAAATTATATTTAAGAGGTGTTTCAAGGTATAAAAATATAGGCTTATATCATGATGTACACATTAGTGATTAAAAAAATCTTGTATTTATTAAAACAAAAACGAAAGTTGTAACCTTGTATATAAATAAGGTAAATTATTTCATTTTATGTATGATTTTTTTTCTAAAATTAAATGAAAAATTATCTTTCAGTCCACATGATGATAAAAGTGGCTACTGCAGCCCGTGGGCACCTGCAACCAACTTCAAAAGAAGAGGGCTATTGATGCGTTGCCCCCTGTGAGGACTAAGATGTAATGCCTCAAAGCTCTATATCCTTCAGAACGGAACGCAGTAGTACACGCACTGCTGCTTGTGGCTCAAGATTGGTAAGAGGGTACAGAAAAGGAGACCTACGTACCACCTAGTACCTTATTTTAATATGAATCACTAAGTCAGTAATTAATTTATAAGATATAAGGATAATATTACTGTTTTTCAACGGATGAATAGGGGTGCTGCAGCCTGTTATTTGATTTTATATTTTTAAACATTCAGGCTACAGGCACGTTTAGGTATGTGTGTGTACTTGTGGTCTACATATTATGTAATTAAATTGATTTTTTAGTTTTATTTATTGAATGTGCTTTTGAATTTGACTGTACTAACAATTTTTATTGACTGATTACTGGCGGAGATAGAACCTTTTGGAGTTACGGTACACTTACCTGGAGATTATATTGCCAACAAAATAGTATTGTAGATTGCTTGCACTATTGTTAATCTAATATACATATTTATAACAAAATTTTAATTAAAAATATATATGTAAGCAGTACTTACTTTTCGTATTAGTAATTAAGATCGTCAATAAAATGCAATACAAACTAAATAAGTAGGAGATCTTATGATTCTTATGTAATCTGTTTAATTCTCATTGAAATTTACTTACTTATATTACATTAGTCGTGATAATATTTAAGATATACGCAATTTGTATAGCTGCCGCTAATTTCTGTATTTGATTATTTAAAATATAATACAAATTATTTTTAGACTTAAAACACTTGCGAAGTTGTATCGCGATGTGTGTGGCCGAGGCATTATAAGGGGAAGCGCTAAATTTTGTATTACATCACGTGAAGGTGATGCGGCGCGTGACTAGACGTGAGTTTCGGCTTTTCATTGTTCATATGTCGTGTATTGCAAAAGTTAGCAAAAACCATCTGCAACAGCATTGTTGCTGAAGAAATCAGTCACACTGGACACTTTGACAGTTAAGACCTTAGAGTATAGATAAACAAGCTATGCTTATATATACTCTAAGGTTAACACGTTTTGCGATGGAATTTATTAACGTTATACATGTATTCGGTGGTGTTTCTTTTATTTAGTTCTGAATGATTTGAAGTCATATTCACACAATTCGGTAGTATTCGGTTCATAGCTATGCCAGGATCCGATGGGGTGGCGCTGTAGACAAGTTATTACCAATTCTATTTATGGACCAAATGATAACAATATAATTTGGTTTAGTGTCAAAAGAAAATTATAAAATCTTGATCCGATAGGTGTTGCTTTGGTTGAGTAATGAAAAAACCTGTGGTTGAGTTATTAAAAATATACATTCTAAAAAGTTCTAAGTGACTTTGTAGAGGAACTTGAGCGACATCTACCGGAAATGGCAGAACAATATATGCCGGGCCAGCGAGCTTTTAATATGAAAATGTAATATGCGTTTTAATTTTGTCAATAGCGTTTAAATTTTGTTAAAATATTTGTTTTATTTTAAATATGATATTGAGGCACATTCCATAATATTTACAAAAATGACAAATATTATATGTATATTGTTATTCTCAATCGTTTAAAGCCTTATGTTTAATATTGACGGAATTTACATACCATAATGTAATGGAATTTATTTAAGTAAACATGCCCCGTAAAAATTGTTTATGATTAAGTGAACATTTTGAATATACATATTGTAAATTAAAATGATGTAACATCTTATATAACATGTGTACAAGAATAAAAAGCTAAACTTTAATATATGAGTTTTCGATTTCCTGTTCACTCTTCGTTTTTCTACCGACTTCAAACAGGAGGAGGTACTCAATTCGACTGTATGTTTTTTTGTGTGTTACCTCATAACTTCTTTCTGGGTGAACCGATTTCGATGATTCTTTTTTATTTGAAAGCTGGTGTGGTTCCATATACATTTGATCGAGGTCTGACCAATAGTTATTCTTAATAATTTATATTGAAGTTGGTTGTACAAAATTTTTAATTTTAAATTATAGTCTGCCGAGGATTTATGTAAAGTCAACTGCAGGTTGTAGACCTTTTCATGACCGTAACTGTTTTTTGAAAGGTAGGGCCTTTTTTACATGGGATTGCCTCGCGGGGGTAAGGACGGGTTATGTCAGACTCGTACCGATTACAACCCCATGGTGTTCCACCTTCGTCGCATATTGGCAGGGCCACGGGAACGCTTTCGCACACATTCGCGGCCCCACCAGCGCTGGCCGCCCCATAGCGACCTCTCCTCGGGATCTACTTCTCAGGTAAGGCGCACCAGAACACATGGCGCGCCCTCCTCCGCGGCCTCCAATTTCACATGTGCAACGGACGCCCCTGTGTCCGATACGCGAAGGCCATGGAGCCATGAAAAACTAACACTCAGAAGCACCAGCCTTCCTGACCCCATCGGCGGATCTGGTCTGTGGCTCCGCCGCCAACCAAGATTCGGCTGCGGAGGGTAGGGAGAGCGGCGCCTCGCAATACCAACACTCCTCTCCCCCCGCAGCCCCACCACCACCGCATCAATTAACGGTGCGGCCCCGTCAGAGTCGCGGAGGATAGGGCAAGTGGCGCATCGCCAACCAACTAACACTCCTCTTCCTCTGCGACTCCACCTCGGCTGCAGCGGTAGGGGGACAGGACACCCCTTTCGCAGCAGCCCACCGACACACATCCGAAGTTGGCTCGCCAAGCCCACTTGGAGTGGCCACCTCGGGCCGGCCCTACACCACGGGCCAGCCAAGGGGTTCCTCTTTGTTCACCGGGGGGAACCTGTTCGGGGGTGAAAGGTAGGACCTAATAAGGCCCTATAAGGGTGGTAACCGTGAAATGACGGTATAAGAATATCCATAACCCTATACCATCTCCAGCGACAGAGAGAAACGAATCAGAAGATGGGCAGCAGCGTCGTCCTAATAACGACTAACTATGGCAAATATCTCCCCTATGAGGCAATATATGGGGGAGGCCTATGTTCAACTGTGGACTTTATTAGGCTATAACGGTAACGGTAAGGGTGGTAAACCCTTTTTTTATGTGGGGAAATGCCTCTGCATACCCGCCTCGCGGGGGCAAGGACGAGTTATGTCGGACTCGCATCGACTAAAATCCCATGGTGTTCCACCTTCGTCGCATATTGGTAGGACCACGGGAACGCTTTTGCACACAGCCGCGGCCCAACCTGCGCTGGTCGCCTCATGGCGGTCTCTCCTCGGCAGAGGACTACTCCTCCCCCATCTCCTTCTCAAGTAAGACGCACCGTTCTGGCGACATGGCGCGCCCTCCTCCTCGGCCTCCAATTTTACATGCGCAACGGACGAAGGGTGGTAAAGCCTGTGTTAACGTCATTTTCCAGTTCTATGCAAGGCCAATACGTAAGGGTGTGAAACTCTTCGCATCTAGTTTGGAATTCCTCACTGA